GTCATTTTAACATACTACAAATGACAGTATGTAAACTTAGCCTTTTCATTTTAAAGATGAAGAAGGTGGAGAAGGAGTAAGGAGATAAGATAATTTAAAATTGGAAATAACCCCTTCTCCACATTGAGTAGTTGGTGTTTTTTTTAAGGCTTGTTCTAAACAAATAATGGGAATGTTGGTACTATTATAATGTGTTTATGTGTCTTGTTTAACCATGTTTAGAAAACTTGTATGTTTGCATGCTTTATGCATGGGGTATGTGTACTTACCAGCACAAAATTCTCCTCAGCCAGTTTTGTTCTCTGTTGGTTTGTAATGGTTTTACCTCCACCTTTTCCTTCTGTTGCTTCTGTTCCTTAGTAATCATTATTACGGTCAAGTGGTTGTTAGTAAGCTGACCAGTCTGTTTTAAGAGATACTGTAAAAAATAATTTAAGTATTTGAAATACACTGAAAATAATTAAGTGATGTGTCTCTAGGATTAAAACATTATCTGGAGCACCATCTTGTGATGCAGAGAAGCATCATCTATTTAAAGCTGGATTCTGAAGCTGTGGTGCTACAAATGCCTGTGCATGTTGGTGATGTGTGCAGTTTCAGTGAGTGTGTGCAAATGCTTATGGGTGTAGGATTTAAGAGTGCAGGTTCTTTTTAGTCAGGTTTATATTTATCTTTCACTTTTATAGAGCTACTAACACCGTCTTAGTCTTGAGTAGATTCCCCAAACAAGAAACGTTACAGAAGTGTAGAATATTAAAATATTAGTGAGATTGCTGATTACTTTTATTGATATCATAAAAGGCTTCCAAACATACTTTCCTAAAATTTAAAATGAGAAGCTACTTTGTACCTATAGTCAGTCTGCACCCAAAATACATAAAATACCACCTTACTAAATTGTCAGCAAACTGCTGTTTTATCATTGTCCACAGATGAAGTTCGTTGCATCTCCAGTTGAAGCTTTTCATACGTTCACTGTTTGCCTCTGCACGATTCCATTGCATAACTGTCTAAATTGCTGTCATCCACCGCCTAACTGTTGGATGCTCCCCAAAGCATAAACAATCCCATAACCATAAACCTGCATGTTCACCTTTAAAAACCCTTTGACAGTCTAAAAATTAAATGCTACTCTTTTGTGCTCTTTATGCTATGCATTGGGACAGAGGTCAGAACTGCAACAGGTAAGAGATGTTGACATTTCATGCTAACAAAATGAAATGCCAACCATTATGACCTCCTAAATGGCAACAGGACTGGCCAAACTAGTAACAATTCTTTAAAAACCCTACACGTAAGTAACACTTGAAATTCGCTGAAACAGACAAGAATTGGGCATGTGCTATCTCTTCTTCCTAGTGCAGTATAGGTGGTAGTCATTTGGTGCAGAGAAAGTCTGCCAGTAATAAGTGATATGAACTATCAGTTTTGACAGTACTATCTGACATGTATAGTAAATTTTCCATTGATTTTTATTAAGCCAAGCCTTTGCCCTTCACCCTTGTATTTCTGACACCACTAGCTGTATTTATACAACTTTGAGAATATATATTACACATCCTGATATTAAAAAAACAGCTTCCAGACCTTGAATTGCAGCAAAAGGTTTGGAAAAAAAGGCTTGGAAGTAGGATTTTACTGTCAAAAATGTTACATGACTCTGAAACGTAGCAATAAGGATTGCATACCTTCCCTCTGGTCCTTCTATCCAGTTGAAGGCTACTTTGTAGTACTGGGTGAGGAATGGTTAAGTATTGGGACTGTAGCTGCAGCCTCCCAGTACTTGCCAGTGGATAAGCACGTGGCTGTGGTGCCCAAAACCTGAGCCCATGGGTATGTGTATTATCTATAGAGTCCTTTTAGTCTAGCCCAGATTAGGGCTCGCTGTTTGAAGGGTGTTGCAATGATTGTGTGCAAGATGGATTAGTTGAATTTAAAGAGCAATTCCAGCTGGAGAAGACATTCCTTGTGAACCACACTCTTTCTTTCTCTCTTCCCTTCTGAGTTCTTCATGAATGACCTTAGTCTTCAAGCTGAATGCGGTGTTTCATTGACTGTTTAAGAGCAGTGGTGGCTCAGAGGGGAGACCAGCAGTAGCATCTCTTAACAGGCTTTGGATCATACTGCTCAGCTTAGGTGTAAGGAAACTCTGTAAGAGGGGGCTTTGCTTAGAAGCTGGTGGTACAAAGCAACTGTTGCAACAATTTTTAAGTGATTAAAAACTATGTGTGTAGTATTTTATACTGTAGCATGCAAACCTGTTTTTGCAGAAGTGTGTGCATGGGTGGCAGCTTCTCAAGAAAAGCAAGAAGAATTACTGTTTACCAGAAAGTTCCCTGAAAATTAAACATATTCACTGTCTGTGTGGGATATCTGGGCTTTATTAAATGAACATGAACAAAAAAGAGCAAAATTTCCTAAGAACTTCTTTCCTGTGTTGATGTTTATATACTGGAATTGGACTGGTGTTTTTAGTTAGCTTTTACTGTTGCAAAAGACATTTAAGCCCATTTTGTAGAAAACCAGGAATGTCTGCTTAGTGGCTACCAAGAGATAAGGGACTTCTTACTTAAAACACTGCAGGGGAGTTGGGCTAGATAACCTTTAAAGGTCTGTTTGAACCCGAACCTTTCTGTGATTATATAAAAACCTTCATTTTGTTCGTATAAAACAAAGAACTGATAAATAAAGCACCTCAAAATTGGTTGTTGAACCCCTATAGAATCGGTCTCCCCAGTAATGCTATCAACAATGGATGATTGTAAAAGGAAAGTTTTATCTCTGGAGGCTTTTATGTGCAACAATGGCTTGACAAATACATTGACAGTTTTCCTCCTTCTACAGAAAATGCCAAATATTGTACAGAATTGTAAATCAGTTGTTAGTCTGCAGGAGCTCAAGTTATCTTACCCTCCGGCCTTCTCTAAACATGGCACAGTGTCTGGCTTGAATTATTTGTTCATGTTTCTGTTGTGCCAGATTTTTTTTCTCCCATAGGAATAATAATAACAAAAAAATTCACCTTAAAATGATTTGTTGTGAGTATACTATTTTTAGGCTTTTATAGAGATACAGCCCATGCTTTTGCATGACACACAGAAAAGAATCCTACACAAGTAAAGAGTATGTTAGTACTATAAATAATAATTGTAGTCTTCCTACAAGTAGGGCTACAGTGATCCTTGTCTATTAATTATAGAAGGCATTAGATGAAATGTGGAGTGGCTTTTATTGCTGAAAGTCAGAGTAATGAGAATGTTTTTGAGAAATTTAATTGGGCAGTATGGCAGTTGAATGACTAGGGTGTATTTTTTAGATAATTCCATGACAAAGGAACTGTCACCATTTCATTCAAGATTTTCTAGGTGACAGAACTGCTTAAAAACAAGTTTACAGCCCAGTGGAAGGGTAGAAAGTATTTTTTAATGTGCTTTGCTGTCAGTAATTCACTTTTGTCTTTTTTGTTTTTCTTAAAAAGCAGATGGAAATTAGCAGAAATTGTCAGTCACATATTTGTTTTAAATGTCGCTGCAAAGGCAAAGATACCAATTAAATTTATTTTTAAGTGACACTTTACAAAATTTAACCTTTTGTTTTTAAAGATCCAAGAAAGCACTCCTGGCCAAAATCAAGGGGAAGCTACTGCCACTTCGTACTGTACAAGGAGAACAAGGATACTATGGATGCCATTAATGTCCTGTCCAAATTTTTAAGGTAAGGCTCTTGTTTCTGGCAGCCTGGCTAGCATGCTGTCCTCCCCCTGTATGGTTCATGTTACTGTAAATGTTATGCTTCAGAGTTCTGTAAGAGCAACACAAGTGATTACTATTGCCTCATTTGTAGATGGTGTTTTTGAAATAAAAAGTTATTTCAGAATACCAAATTTGAAACTTGTAAGCTTTGGAAGGAGGCGAAATGGAATGGGACAAAATGGTGCTGTGAAATGTAAAAGTCTGCACTTTGCTACTGCAGTGGAGGAAGGTCCACAGATGAAGCTGGCTGATGTAAGAAAGGCTTGGCAGCTCAAAGCCTCCATGTGCGTAACATGAATTACCAAACAGTTTTTTCCAAGTGTGTGAATATATGCAAGCGTGTTACGGACCTGTCAGATATTGTTGTGATAATATGCTGATCAGTTCCTAAGCATTTACAGTTGATAAGCTGTTGTTCTATATATTAATTTCTCCATGGCAACACAGCCTTAACTCCTTTCACTTGATCAAGTGCAGCAACAAAAAGATTTGCCAAAGGCATGATGTGATCACAGTGAATTGCAGAGGAAGGGCTATTTTAAAATTGGGTTAATTCAGTGATCTACTTGTAAGGAAACTTCCCCACATCTCACTTTTTTTTTTCCTTTTGTCCTTCCTGTCCAAAAATAATTATACATAATCTCGACTGTAGTACACTGCTTGTGTTTGTATTTGAGAACAGAATGGTCAAAGTGTAGTTTGGTGGAAACATATGTGTCATGGCAATCCTGCTGCTCCCTGGTGCCCGCAGCGGGAACAACCGGAAATATTCCCTGTGCAGCACAGGCTGTAAAATGCAAAGAGGAGAGCAGAGGAAACGAGAGGGATCAAATTTTAATTCATATTCTCACATAGTGTCCATGCATGGTATTCAAACAGATACAGTTTTTGGAGTTTAAGGAAGATATGGACATGATTTTTTTTTTTTTTAGTGAAACTAATGGTGGCTGCACATTTGTGCAGTGAGTAGATGTATATAAAGTACTTCAAAGCTCATATTCTGAAAGTACAGTAAAAGTGAATCTTTATACATATAATTAAAATGGGGACGTTTCCCTGTGTTTTTTGTACTTATAGATGAGATTAGAAAATGTCACACATACCAAATTGTAGCCTACTGCTTGGGAATATAGGTATAATTTATATTTTTAATATAGATGATTAATAATTCTAGGTAATTATGCTGAAAATGATCTTTGATCTGTGGCTATTTTAATAGACACAATATCTGTTACTGTTGCTTTTAAGAGTGAAGCCAAACATATTTTCCTACATGGGAACTAAAGACAAAAGGGCCATAACAGTTCAAGAGATCGCTGTTCTTAGGTAAGTGAAAGCACACTGGAGTACTTACACTCCTACTGTGATAGCTTGAATATTGTGCTAAATACCTTGAAGGCTTGAGGTGCACATGACACAAATGGTGGCTTCATGTCCTGACCTTGTAAAGCACAGATATTAGTGAAGATGCCAAAATCCTTTTTTATTCTGTGGTGATTGCTGGTGTTTTCAGTTGGTGGTACTCAGTCACAGGCTATGCATATTTGGCTGAAGCAGGAGACCAAACAGCCTGGGTGCTCTTACAATGTCTGGCTCCCATGCAACAGCAGAAAAACAGAGTGACACAGTGAATGTGTCCCATTTCCTTCCCGACTTTTGTTTCCTTCTTCCTCCAGCTGGAATTCTCTTCTTTCTCACCAAACTCTCTGAACAGCTCCAGAGAAGGCTAGCTACTGTCTTTACTCATCTGTCAGTAGTCAAAAGGGGCAGATGACTGAGGAACTTTTCCTGCCTTAACCTATGTCGATAAGTCACCTACTAAGAGGAAATAGAATTTATTTTGTCATATTCCAAGCTAATTATATGTTTTCTGGTCACATGAAATTAGTGCTGCGTCCGTAACTGAGAATGATGGATTACAATATCTGTTTAGCTAGCTGGAATATTCGACCTGGACGACTATTAGAAATTCTTTGAAACCCACACTTCTCAAGTGAGGAATTACAAGGTTTGATCAAATCATTGTTGAAGGGAGGATGTTTGCTATTTAATCATATCTTTCCTCCCAGTAGTTCACATGTGCATGTTTGCATATGTAAAAGAAATTACTGATTTGTGAATTAGATTCTTGTTGCTGCAAGGCAAGTTTGTAAAGTGATGACAACTGACCACACTTGTGTAGCCATCTCAGGTGCTGTTCCGTTTGCTTTTAATGCAGTCACATTTAAGGCTGTGTCCTAGGGCCCAGTGTGTTGTAAGCATTGACTGGGGGGAACATGCTGGTTTGTGGTGTCTGTTCAGTAGTGCCATAGTGCCCAACTCTCCTGTGCAGCCTTGGAGAAGGATGGTGCAGGACAGGAGACATCACCATTCATCAGCCTGCCTCAAGCTGAGTACTCCAGCCATGCTAGTTGAAAAAGTTGTCTCTCCTGCTGTAAATTTTAGCAGAAGTGTCAGAGTGACTCAGTGATACAGAGAACAGGGTATGCTTCTAAAAGTACTGCCAACAAAAATGACAGACATTGGTGACAGATTTTATTTCATACTCCTTCATCTGCACAAAGCTCACATAGTGGCTAATTACTTAACCCTGTGCTTATGCACAAAAAGCAGAGTTCAGCTTGTGGGGTACCGCATACATCAATATTGCAACATACTGTTTTTGAATGCATACTGTAACAGAGATGTGAAAGACAGTACTAACAGTTTTTGTCACAGTATACATTTTCTCTTGTATGAGTAGCCATCAGAATTATCTGTTCTTTTAGGTATATTATTAAAGTACTTCAAAAAGGCAACAATAGAAAATTGGGTAAACCGGACTCAGTGCTTTTTATTTTGAAATGCTGGTGTTTCTGTATTTATTTATCAGCATTTCTAAACATAGGTTGTTCACTGTCCTCTGTTTCTTTTTAGAATCACTGCACAAAGACTTGCTCATTTGAATAAATGTTTGATGAACTTCAAGTTAGGAAATTTCAGTTACAAGAACCATCCACTGAAACTAGGAGAACTTCAAGGGAACCATTTCACTGTTGTTCTCAGGTAATTTGTTACATGGTTCTGTTACAGATTTTTTTCTTTTATTCTTTAAATAGGTGAGAGAGTGCATCTTGTGTTACAAAAAAAGAAGGAAACACCTTCTATTGGCAGGAGTCTTGAATTTGGTATGAACTATATAATGTTGATGTTGAGTTTAATGTTATGGGGAATCATAAAATAGTGCAAACTCTTAATCTGTCCATAACATTTTTTTTTCTTTAATGCTAGAAACATAACAGGAACTGATGACCAGATAGAGCAAGCAATGCACTCTCTCAGGGAAATTGGATTCATTAATTACTATGGAATGCAAAGATTTGGAACCACAGCTGTTCCTACATATCAAATTGGCAGGTATGTGCTGTTTTCTTTTCCATTTTTAAAAAATATTTTTATCCCTGTATAACTTCTAGATTTTTGGGAATGTTTTCTAGCATACTGCATGTGCCAGTTATAATTTTAGATTCAAGGAAGAACTTGTTTCTGCACTTGCTTCAGCAGGTATCTTGCATAATAGTGCTACTTCTAATATTGCCTAAATCTAAATAGTAATACTACTTTTCTTTTGGTAAGTTGGCTAAATCTTCTTGAAATGTGTGTAGTCAGTTCTTCATACACTTTCCTGTTTGAATCTTAGAGCTATTCTACAGAACAATTGGAACGAAGTAATGGATTTGATATTAAAACCACGACCAGGAGGTAAGGACTGAAAAATGGCACATTGTTTCTGTTTCTCTTCCTTCAAGAATTGTGTGTTTGGGAAAAACACTTTTAGATACTTGTAATTTGAAGGGAGGTTTGCAAGGACAGCTTTGCACATGCTAAACTTCAGCCAGTTATAGCAATAGAGAAGCAACCTTCAGATCTGCCTTTCTGCTTCCCCTTCCTCATTGTGCAGTTCCCTGCAGTGGGAGTGAAAAGGGATCTATTACACTGAGTCCTTGTACACAGAGTCTGCCCAGGCTCCACGTGAAGCCTTCCAACCTCAACTATTCTGTGATTCTGTTAATCTGTCTAATTACCATGACTGAAATATTAATTTTTCACCTGTTAACAACAGGTGAAAGAGGTGCTTTTTTGGTGTATAGTTAAAATATTTTTATTTTCTATCCTCATACCAGCTGAAAAGGGATACTTGGTAAAATGCAGAGAAGAATGGGCAAAGACTAAAGATCCGGCAGCAGCCCTCAAGAAACTACCTGTAAAAAGGTGCGTGGAAGGACAGCTTCTACGTGGGCTCTTAAAGTATGGAATGAAGAACATAATCTCTGCATTTGGCATAGTGAGTGTAAAAGTGCTGTGGGATATTTACTTGAATAAATGCTTGGTCGATGGTATCATGGTGAATTTGGAATAGACTTAGATGCTTGATGAGTAAAAGGTTAAGTGTAAAATCTTTAAATTTATCCTCTCTTTTTGCTTGTAGTACTGCTGCATGGTAACTAATAACATCTGTAATTAATGTATGCATAATGAGCTTTCCAGTTTATACAAAAATCTCTCTGGTACTTAGGAAGCAACACAGTTATATTTAATAACCTTGTGTCATACAGATCTGAGAATTACGTGAAAATTCAGTATCAGAGGCTTTATGTTCTTTAAAAGTATAAATCAGACTGATAGTGTGCTAATGAATCAGCTTGGCATAGAGGCAGTAGATTGACTGTCATTTTCAAGTACTGTAATCAAGATCAAATCTTTGGAGAAAATACCTCATCACCAGCAAACTACTGGGGCCACTGTAGGAGCCAAGGAATAATTTCTTGTTTATGAAGAAGATAATTAGAATAACACTGTCTCCACATCTGCAAAGTTTATACTCAGGAGGCAGAGTATGAATTCGGTGTTTTATAATAGCCCCATGTGTTTGATGAGCTGTTGAATAAAACAAATTTTTTAAAAAGCTTTTTTTTTTAACTGAAGCACAGCAGGGGTTTGTGCAGACTTGCAGGCTTCAAATGTATGAAAGCATTATTTGTTCACACACTCTTTTCCCAAATAATGGACAAAAATCAAATCTGTATAACAAGAAATTGTGGTAGCCTTGTTAACTGGAGAAGGTAACAATTCACATACGTGACTTTTTGGATATGATTGAGAGAAAAAAAAAACAACTAAAAATCCATCTTTCTAATGTAATGCTTTTTTTTTCTTTACCTCTAGATACCAAGAAATAATCGTTTAATGTATATTCATAGCTACCAGAGTTATGTTTGGAATAATATGGTGAGCAAGAGAATAGAAGAATATGGACTTAGAGCTGTACCAGGAGATCTCACACTTAAAGGAGGTAAAATCAGAAAAACAAAAATCCAGGGATGCTATATAGTTCAGATTCCTAGGAAAACAAGGCACATACCTGTTTGTGATACTGCTTACATATTTTCCTTTCCCTCTCACCCATTTTGGTTTGGTGATTTCTAAATCCATTGGCTAGTTTTAGTGAAACTTTGCAAGGAATCGTAATATGGAAAGATAATGCATAATGTATAAGTGAGCTGTTGGTGTGTTTGTTTTTCCAAATAGCTGGATAGGGAAGGGAGACTAAGAAGGTGTGATTGTTCTCAAGCATGAACTCAAACCTAGTTGAGCTGTGAAGAACTATGGAAGGATGTTATGAATGTTTTAACCACAGAAGTTTGTTTGCATCAGTATCTTGTAAAGCAGAGGCTTCACTCAGTTAAAACTTTCTTCACTTGGATTTGGTCTGTCATTTCCTGGGAGTGAGAATATGGACAGTATTTCTCCTTCATGTATGCCTGATGCCTGGTTAGAGGACAGTTCATCTAGTAGTCCTTCATTCAGCTTTAAAAGTCACTGGAAACCAGGCTGTGATTTTGCCAGTAACTGTGACAGCCTTCAATACTGTTATTTCTTTTCCTGGAAATGTTGTCTATTCATAGAATCATAGAATCACCTAGGCTGGAAGGGACCTCCGAGATCATCAAGTCCAACCACCGAGCCACTAGGGCTCCAAAGTCCTCTGCCAAAACAGATCAGAATCTGTCAGGGTTGGAAGGGACCACAAGGATCACCCAGTTCCAACCCCTCTGCCATGAGCAGGGACACCTCCCACTAGATCAGGTGTCCCAGAGCCTCATCCAGCCTGGCCTTAAAGACCCCCAGGGATGGGGCCTCCACCACCTCCCTGGGCAACCCATTCCAGGGTCTCACCACTCTCATGGTGAAGAACTTCTTCCTCACATCCAGCCTGAATCTGCCCACTTCCAGCTTTGCCCCATTCCCTCTAGCCCTGTCGTTACTCGATATCCTAAAAAGTCCCTCCCCAGCTTTCTTGTAGGCCCCCCTAAGATACTGGAAGGCCACAATAAGGTCCCCTCGGAGCCTTCTCTTCTCCAGACTGAACAGCCCCAACTCTCTCAGTCTGTCCTCATAGGAGAGCTGCTCCAGCCCTCGGATCATTCTGGTGGCCCTTCTCTGGACACGCTCCAGCAGGTCCATTAAGTGCAGATAAAACACAGTAGTTATTGCTCTCAGAGTAGGCTTGTTTCAATCAAGTGGTTCATTTTAAGTTTAGTTAGTAGTAACTGTCACAGACACATGTACTGGTAACTCATCATTTTTCTGTCCTGATTGTAGCCACAGCTGTTCATATCGAAGAAGGAGATGTTGATAACTACACTATCCATGACGTAGTGATGCCTTTGCCTGGATTTGATGTTATTTATCCAAAGCATAAAAGTAAGTCTGATTGTTAACTTATGTACTCACTCTGAAAACGTAAGCCTGCTTCAAGATTCTTTTTAAAAGGAAGACAAGATCTCTGCAACCTTGGTGACTATTAAAAAATACACTACTTCAGAGTTCTGATACGTTTCTGTCAGCCTCTGCCAGTGTGATAATATTAGTCTGCATTGTAACTTGCGTCACTGAACGTAAATCTGTTTCATGTTTCTTTTTAGCTAGTGGCTTTTCCAAAGAAAAAATTTTTTACTGAGGCAAAATTTTCCTGCGCAAGGGGAAAAAAAGAAATGGTGAAGTGTTAATTGAGAAGTGCATGTGTTTTATTCTTACGTTAAAAAACAAAGCAGACTTCTAAAATTCATAACTCAAGCAAATGCTTGAAGTTAGGAAAAAGAATCAGATCTCTTTAATTAAATATTGAACAATATGAATTTTAAAAAAAAAACAAACCCAACCATACCTTTTATTTCCTGCGTGTGGATGTTGTAGATCCTGTATTGGATCTAAATTGTTTTTAATGGAATAGTTGTGTCATCTATAATTATTTCCATGCAACATGATGTTCTTTCTGAGGGACAGAGTTGTAGAATCATTTTGTTTGGAAGAGACCTTAGGAGACCATTTGGTCCAACCTTATGGTCAAAGCAAAGTCAGTGTTGCTCAGGGCTTTGTCCTTTCAGGTCAGAAACTTTAAAGAACAAATGATGTCTGAGTTTTCCTCTAAGCTAAAAAATCCCAGTTTTCTCAGGCTGTCCTGACAGGGCATGTGCTATAACCTGGCCATTGGGGTGGGCCTCCATTGGATTCATTCAAGTATATCAGCATTGGCTTTGTACAGGACACAGTATTCCAAGAGCAATCTCATGGATGCCAAGTAAAGGGCAGTAATTGTTTTTCTTGGTGTAGCTACTGGGTAAGCTGTTGCTGCTAGCTTTTGTTCCTGCCAGGGCACACTGTTAAGTCTCCTTTCCACTGGGAGTCCCAGGCGAGTATCAGCAGAGTTGCTCCCTGGCCTGTACCACTGCAAGGAGTTAATCCCTCTCCTTGCTGAATTATAGGGCTTTGTTCTTGCTGAATTTTGTGGCATTCCTCTTGGCCCATTCTTCTAGTCTGCCTAGGTCCCTCTGAATGGCAGTCCTGCCCTTTGGTGTATCGACTTCCACCTTAACTTGATTTTGTCCACAGACTTGCTGGGGTGAATTCCAGCTCCTCCTCCACATCTGCTGACTAAGTTATTTAACAGGGAACATCCCAGTTCCCCAAGGAAGTGCCAAGCTTCCAGGTAGAGCTCAAACCGGTAGTGACTGTCTTTGGAGATGATGAGCCAGACATTTGTTTAAACATCTGGAAGTTCACCCACTGTAACATTCTAGACTTGGAGACAAGGATGCTGTGGGAACATGTTGCCAGCCTTGCTAAAGGCAGGGTAGGCAGCAGTCCCTGCTCTTCCCTCATCCACAGATGTAATCATTTCATCATAGAAGGCAGTAAGTTTGGTGGGGGTTTTATGTTTTTCTTTTCCTTTTTTTCTCCCCTTTTGGTAAAGCCGTGCTTGCTATTTCACTTGTTGTGTGCCCAGAAACATGTTCTAAGAAGATTGACTTCATTATTTTTGCCAAGGACCAAAGTGAGTCTGACTGCTCTGTAATTTCTCCATCACTCTTCTTGTCCTTTCTGGAGATGGGTATAACACTTGGTTTCCTGCAGTCAGCTGGGACCTCCCTAGATCTCCATGATCTTCCAGAGATAGTAGAGAAAAGTTTAACAGGACATGAGCCAGCTCTCACAGCCTGTATCTTCTTCCACTACTAGTCTTCTCTTCCCTGAACCTTGTATCTAGAAATAGAGACCTGGGAGAACTTGCTGGTCAAGACTGAGGCAAAGGACATGCTGAGACCACCAGCTTTGTCTGTCCCTAGACCAGATGCCCCATTTAGCAGCAGGTCAACATTTTCCTTGTTGTATTCTTTCACTGAGGGAACTGGCTGGTGCA